TGTCCCCAGAACATCAAAAATTATTATTCCACTTATTATTGTTACATTTCAAAGACTAGCATATCCCAATTCAAGCCAAAGCTGTGCAAATCACGGCCGGCCAAAATGTATAAACGTATAGATAAGAATTTATTGATTCGACGCAAAAGGTTTTAATTTAAAAAAAATCCAAATGTTCAAACAAATCCATGTGTTGTGCAGGCAACAGAATACACGACCTCATCACGAGATTCCAACAATTTTCTGGTGAATTGAGTTCTATTAGCTACGCGGATTGTGAAGCTTCCAATTGGACAAAGCTGGGAGATCATTCTGAAAATAAAAATTAACAACAAAAAATAATTTAAAAAGTACACTTCAATTCCCTCATTTATCGCTGGGAACCGGAAAAGGAGCAATTCGAACGTTTCAAAATCCGGAATCATTTTACAAACGTCTGTTAGCAATTGTACAGCAACTTCCGGATTTTCAGCGTAAAATGGGTCAACAACCAGACGATTCAAATTGACTACACGGATGGTACAGTACCCCATAATGTTCTGTTTGGAATCAAATGCCACCTCAAAAAATGGACCTGTTGAAAAGAAATTGTCCAAAGACTTACTTTTGTATAAACTTGGTGTTGTGAAAACCAAAGTTGCATTCGATTTTTGCGGTCCATAAAACAGACGGATTTGTCATAGACGTTTAGTTGATCCGGGTCTACTTCAGTCCAATTCTAAAAACCAAATTTATCTGTCTTCTTCTGAGAGGTATCAAAAAACGGTTCATTGATAAAATGTTAGTGATATTATGATAAACATTTCGTCAGTTGACCACTTTTCGATGTCTTGCAAAAGGAAACAAGATATATCGGGTTAAAAATTTTGAACTAACTTTGGTAATATATTCGTCCGAAATTTTTTCAGCAAAGTCCATTTTGCTTGGCACGATTATCAGCTTGTTATGACAATAAACTGGCATTTCCTTGAATCCGAAAATGTCGGCGTACTTTTGAGACATATCGGGCGCTGAAATTAACTGTTTTCAAGTCGACTCTTGTAATGTTACCAGCCATCAAAACGCAATTATCCTCGCCCACAATGTCCATCATTGCCTTGAACACTGGCTTTCCGTATCCTTGTCCACGATACTCCTCTTGACAGTAAAAAAGACCAATGGAGTACAATGGGTTCCCATTTCCATCAGTACATCGCGCTAAACTTCCGCCAGCCACAAAATTGGTAGAGTCGTCTGAAAAGCATGAAGCCATAGCTTGGGTTAGCGACAGCGTAGCTGGGAGTTTATAACTGTGTAGTTGGATTTCGCGAGTTTGTAGCTGGGGATTTTAAACCTCGCAGCTGCAATTTACGAGAGCATAGCTCAGTCTAAACCTGCCGTCTTCATGCGCTGCAGATTTCTTTAAAAGAACAAAAGATCTACACTATCTTTCCGTCAGATAACCCAAAACGTATTCATTTCGTTGAACACCCTGTTTTCCAATGTTTTACAGATCTTTTCTGGAATCTCAAGGGAAGAGGACGAAAGGCCGAATGTCATGTACAGTGTATTTATAGGAATCTTCCAAACAAAAAATCCTTAAAAGGCAATACTTATTCTTCCCAGGGTTTTCTTCTAACAGTTTAGCCAGCTCCTCACCTTTACTAGGATCCACCATACAAATAAACCAATAACCATCAAATCCTTTCGCATAAAATTGATAGTCGTATGGCATGTGACCCCATCCATGGGTCACAGCTGCCCAATGAATCAGTTGGTCGAAAACTTGTTGGGGTGGATTTACGACTAGCTCCATGGCTGTGTAGCTGGAGTTTCGACAGAAAAGTCAATGGAAAAATATTATTATCAATTCATTGAGAGTGGAGAAAAATTGTCAAACAAGATGCAAGTCGTAAAAAAGAGGTGACGATAAGAAAATCAAAGAATGGAGAGGAAGTGACGTTTTTTATAAAATAAATCAGAATTTGTTAAAATGTTATCAGTTAATCAACTTTGACAAGTCCGTGGTTGGTACTAGCTGAGGTAGAACTTGCCATATTTATATTTGATACTGCTCGGCTCTAAAAAAATCCATTAAAAATGTTTCCTTATTTCATACCGAAGTGAACTTTGGTATTCCAAGAACTTTGCAAATGAACAGATTTTTTGCAGTATTTTTATATTGAGACGATAGCATCAATGCGAAGAAAAAGTGTGACATGGTGTTCAGGACAATCAATATACCATTCATGGACTCAAAACTTGTGATGACAAATCTGAAACAAACAAATCTTTCACAACAATTTTTCGAATATTTACATCTTTCTCCTATAGCTTATATTATCATAGCTACCATCCTGATAGGCTGTTGTCCAGAACAGGAGAATTCCATTAATACCTTCAGTAATCATGGAAGCCAGTGTCATGGAAAAAATCATTTTTGTTGTTTGATTGTTTTTTGTGCTCCTGAATATTTGGATTTGAGGTGTTATAAAAAACAATACCATAACATACGTTCTTTGAGAGGCTATAACATTATTTCTATTTCGTTCTGCTTTTCGAATTTCAATGACCAACAAGAGGGTGAGAATTGGGAGTATAACAGTAAGACCAATCTAAACAGGACATATTTTTGTTCAAGCTCAATATTTTGAATAGAGCTAAAATATATGAAACAAAACGCGGCAAGAGATTCAAGATGACGGTATTCGAAAAATGGTATACCTGTATTTGACACCGGCCAGCAGCGCAGCTGGCACCACCGTAACTAAGCTAGTAGCAACGCGGCACCTCCAACGTTGGGTACACAAGTTTAACACTTCAAAGGGCTTTTATGTACAAATTTACTAGTAGTTTTGCTTTCATGTCAGCCGTCTGTTTATAAAAAAAAGTACCGTTACTGTACCTTTCCACATCCGCCTATGTATTGATACAATTTGGAAGACATCATCAAGCCTGACAGAAAATATTCGGGTACTCCATACTGATATCGTGGCTCGGTGTAATTTTCTGAAAAACTACACCTGCAATTTTATTGTGTTTTAATAGTGAAAAACAGCAATATTCAACTCATCAGGAGGATACCATGGCGAATTTGCGTCTTCAATTCTGTCTGCTGCTCTGAAAAAGAAAACGGGCAAAAACCAAACAAAAATAGTTCCTAGAATAGAAGCGATTGCAAATTTTGGTTTGGAAAGTACATCGAATTTTGAATTCAACGGAAATTTGACGACTAGAACACGAACAAGTGATATGATAACACTGAGCCATGCAGAAGAAGGACGAAAAATTTCATCGGCTCTTTGGAACCAATGTTCCATGAATATTTTGTAATATCCATAAATATTGAAGCTGGAAAATTTTTCTGTTTTATTAAAACTTAGGATTCGCCAAGTACCATCGAGTTGAAACAAATATTGATAGAACTTTCGTAAAGACAATATACGCCATATTAGTCAAATCACAAACTGCAACTCCACTCATCAAATTGTTGATAGAGTTGGTCCTCATTAGCTTTTGATTGAGTACAATTAGGTGAAAAATATTTACGATTACACATGGAATGGAAATGTAAAATCTTAAATTGAAAGTTGATCCCGAAATTTGAGAAAGTAAATTAGCAAAAAAACAAATGGTAGTATCATTAATCCCAGTGAAGGCTTCATGGGGCATAGCTTTTGAATAATATAAAATTATTAACTTGATGATAAATTTTTATGAAATGAGCAACAGCTGATTTTCAAAATCTCAGAAAACACAAATCACTGAACTTCTTTCTATACCGAAAAGTGAAGAGGTGGACCAAAAAACCAACAATTTATTGTCACAAGTTTTGAATAAAAAATTACAATTTAAATGATGATTAGGGCTTTTTCAAAAAAAATCAGGAATTCAAAAAATTCAGGAAGTCGAAAAATTTTTTAGGGATCCAAAAAAATCAAAAAAAAAATTCAGTAATTCAGAAATTCAGAAATTCAGAAATTCAGAAATTCAGAAATTCAGAAATTCAGAAATTCAGAAATTCAGAAATTCAGAAATTCAGAAATTCAGAAATTCAGAAATTCAGAAATTCAGAAATTCAGAAATTCAGAAATTCAGAAATTCAGAAATTCAGAAATTCAGAAATTCAGAAATTCAGAAATTCAGAAATTCAGAAATTCATAAATTCAGAAATTCAGAAATTCAGAATTTCAGAATTTCAGAAATTCAGAAATTCAGAAATTCAGAAATTCAGAAATTCAGAAATTCAGAAATTCAGAAGCCCTGAAGTTTGGAAAGTGTGAGAAATTCGACTGCTTTGATCGTTATATTTGGATATCTTTAATAATTTCCACCAAAAATTCCAATTCCTGTGGCCCAAATTGCTTTGAGGCATCCAATGCATCATCAGAATACGCACCAACAGCATTGGTAATCCAAGCAAACCCAAGAACCTTGACCCCACAGTGACGAGCTACAGTAACCTCGTGACACGTGGACGTCCCCACAGCATCTGCTCCAAACTTTCGGAGAAGTCGTAGCTCGGCGGATGTCTCAAGTTGTGGTCCACCAGTCATTGTAAAAAATCCTTCTGATAAATTTATATTGCACTTCCGGCCAACTTTTATTGCGAGTTTTCTGGAAAATTTAATTTTTGGAATAATTGAAATTAAAAAAAGGTTGCTGTACCTCAAATCACTATTGTATGCATCATGAACTGGTACAAATGGACTTCCATATCGTTTATCCCCACATCCATTCAGTGGAGACCATCCAGCTAAACCCGGAAAAAAATTTGATCCTTAATTAGCATCAAGTCTCCCCTTTTCAGCTTTCCGTTGATTCCAACAGCTGCATTTGAGACTATCATGATTTTGGCGCCAAGTAGCTGCATAACACGCACCGGTAAAGCGCACTGAACATATGTATATCGGTTTTTCCAGATGTCCGACACTCACCAGTGCCAAATCCATGTTATACTCATTTTTATCGAATCTCCCTTGAACACAAACTACATTCTTTCCATCAATTTCGCCGAAAACCAAGCTTTCTGAGTTGTCATTGATTTTGGATTTTGGAAATCCTTTAATCTGGGAGTACGGTAGAGTTATGGCATTCTGGATCAAATCAGTTAGTGAGTCAAATCCAATTATCATAATATCAACGAGTTGCTCTCCGATTTGAGATTTAATTGAAGAGACAATTTTTAAGAGGTCATCATAGTTTCGGGGGCTGAAAATTTTCTCTGTGATCTTTGACTCAATTTATCTCCGGTCGTGTGAATGATCTCAAAAAGTGATTAACTGATGAAATATTTATCATAGTACTATCAATATTTTAACTGTTGACAAAATTTTGATATATTTATCTGGAACCGAGATGAATTGGATCAAATATAGCAGTGTAAATTTAAAAATTCAGAAAAAAGTGCATTCACATACTATCAATTTTGACCCAATTCATCTCATATTATGTGAATATCTCATATCGTATGCTGGTAAAATTTTGCCGACATTATGATGAACATTTTATCAGTTGACAAACTTTTACATCTTCATCAGGAGCAGAGATAAAGTGGGCCAAAGTTGAAAGTTAGGGTGCCCTCCTATTACAGTTGTTACTGTAATAGATTCACACTCACTCGATTTTGCCTTCCATTGTGGCAGACTCTGGAAAAATATAGAAAATTCGAAATTTTTGAAGAAAAAACAGGACAAATATATATTAAACTTCTGTGGCAAAATGTAAACAATTTTCGATGATCAGTTTTTTTTGTCTTTCTTTCAAATCAATATAATTATTTTGTTGATGTTGACCTTGATGTCATTTATGACAAAAACAAGATTTTTTTTTGGAAAGAAATTGTTGACTTGATTTTCAAAAAAATAGGTTTATTGATGTCAATTTCAGCGAAAAAAACTGAATCTTATTTTTCCGTTTCAGTAGTTTTCCTCACTTGACCAACGCTGGATGCACTGACTTTTGGGAGCTGAAAATTTAAAATTAATGAAAATAAATTTTCAGACATTTTCACAAAATGAGTACCGGTTTTGTCTTTCTTTCCGCTAGACACTTTACACAACAAAATAAACTTTTGGCAGATTTTTGATATTGTGAAGATACAGTGAGATAAATCACGCAGTGCATAATAGCGTTAATTGAGACGAACACTCCAAATATGTCGATGAGATCCATTGTCATTTCACTGGAATTTCGTTGCGATAAATTTTGAAAAATAATTTATCTGTAAACTTGTATTAGAAGGGCGCCCTCTTATTTTGTTAACAGGAAGTTTCGGAGGGCCCTTCTATTAGAGAAGCCCTTTTAATGAAGGGTCCCTTCTAATACAGGAATTACGGTATCCCAAAGGCTCACACTATTCCAGGAGGCTGAGTTACGAATCCTTGCACAACATAAATTATCCCTAGCGGTCCTTCAGCGGCCATATAAGTGATGGTCATCAGGATTACCAGTTTTGTAGCTTGATGAGATTTAGAGCTGAAAATTAGTTATTTATGGGTTTCAGGAAGTTCAAAAAGTTACTTCTCTTCATGCTTCTCACTTCCCACTGACGCTTTTTTTCTTGAATCTGCGGCTTTTTTTAGTTCACGAACAAGAATAACTGTCAAAATTGGAAACATCAGAGTTGGAATTATCTGGAACATATGAA